ACCTTACTTATAAGAGGTTAAAAAAGGTAATATAATATAAAGGAAAAAAGGTTATATAATTAATTAGGTAGGGTTTTTTTTAAGGGTATAAAATTATTTATAATAAGGGTTTAATTATAAAGGCTTAGAGTAATAAAGCTTAATTTAATAATAATTTTATAAAATATTAAAGGTCCTAAATTATTATAAAAAAGGAAGAAAAAGGTAACTACCTTATATATATAAAAGGAATACCTAGGCCTAGGGTTCTTACCCAGGCATATATTCTAGCTATATAACCAATAAGTCTTATATTAGCGTAAAGCCCCTTTATTAGGCTTCACGATCTGTTAGGCCTTTTCCGTGTAACATGCCGTCACTGGCCAACTTGTACTTGCACCCAGCCGCCGAGCAGTACCACCTCGTTTGAGCCAACGGCCGTCTATGAACGGAATTGACGTGACGTTCAAGTCCTGCGTTCTGGCTAAAGGCCCTTGTGCAGCCTCCCACGCCGCACTTGAATGGGCGGGTGTGCTGCTTGAGGTGCCGACTATTTTGACCGTGTCAACGACGGGCTAGAGAGCGCGCAACGCAGAGCAACTTATGTCAGTGACCGCCTGGAAAAGACTTCCCGGCACTCCGGGCACTGGAAGAGACTTGAAAGAGCCGAGTTTTGTTGTAAATGGTGGTCAGATCGCCGTTGCAGATTTTGGAGGGCATTCGCGGGCCTAGATGTTTCTCCCTCTACTTCGTCCTGTCCAGCAGGCTCGACAGGGCTTGACACTGCCTCATTATACTCTTCAAGCGGACCGCCGCTTCCCCGGACCACCCAGCTGGGATCCACATATTGGAGAGATCGGTTTTCGTGATGATGATGTAGTTGATCAGATCCAGATGGCTCCGCTGGAGTTTGAAGGGAAATTAGAGGCCGACCCGGTTAAAAAGGAAAACGGGATAGAAAGAAGCCTGCAGGAGAGTGTCAACGGAGCAGGGAAGACAAATAGGATGGCTGCGCGAAATGCAAAGTCGTCGGGAGGCAACGAATGTACGGTAAGCGGAAACCTGTAAGGACTGTGTGCGGTGAGACCGACAGGGCCGCCCGTGGGAGAAAGAAGAAAGGAAGAAAGGACCAGATGATGGGTGCCGATTCTTGACGGCTTTATATTTATACTTTTCCGGGGCGAGCTTCGCATTGGCTCCCACCCCTCAACGGTATGCCACAAAATCTGCGAGGCGTCCATGGCTTCAAACCGACTCATCGAGCCAATCATCTCCAACTGGCTTCATTGGGGCTTTTCTCAGGTTCGTATGGCAGATGGGTATAAAGAGACAACATTGGGAGACTTGAATTTCTCGAGCTCAGTATCCTTAGTCTTCAATCAACGTCCTGTGTAAATCCCGACTCTTACACGTATAATCCCAAGTCCCCTGATATAAAATCGTTGCACTCGCATCCAACAACTACCAAGAATGTCGTCGGTAATCTTTTGCTGCAGTGAGATCAGGCCCTACCGCCCCCAATATCTTTCTCACGAGGGCATGTTTACTTCTTTCATGTCGTGGGCTGCCTTCCCGAGGCAATCCGCACGGGACTCGACGGGCGAAACAAAGACCGACCTTGTCCACCTCGCGCCCTCTTTTGCCGTTCAGCTCGTCAGGCAGAAAAACTATGGTCCGCTTGAATCCAAAAAGTATTTCATCCCAGTCCAGGGCACTACTGGCGACTTTGTCGAGGTGGTCGAAGATGACTTGATTCAAGCCAATTTCCAGAAACTCAACACGTAGGCATGCCCACAAACACAATTCTTTGGCTGAATTCTGAATAATGGGATCAAGGTACAAGAACTACAAGTGCGAGGTTCACGACAAATTCTACGAGGTCAACATTTATCAGAAGGACCCGGTGAATAAGCATCACTGGCGGGCGACGTTGGCGAGACCGGCTCGTGATATTGACCTAGGCCAATGAGGTGAACATCCCCAAGTAGGACCTGGCACTGTATCGGGTTACTGGATTTTCGTAGTCGTAATAATCTTGTACTCGCAAAGGAGTTGAGGAGAATATGGAGCCCTAATACTGAGGCCCTCGCTGGAAAAACAAATTGTTGGGGTCCGATTACTTTTGATCATGTAAACTACGGGGCCTGGTTATTAACGCTAGTCGAACATCATATGTGCAATTTGTTTGTTTCCCTAGCTGGGAAAGCAAGAATGATGCAGTCGCGTGCTCTATGCATGTCTCTAGCTTGCTTCCTCCTTCTTCACCCTCAGCCTTAGATAGATGATCTGATAATGACTTGGATGTACCAGATGATAGTTGTGTATTCAGCTGTCGTGCAATGATTTCGTTGGGCTGATCTCCTGTGACAAGGGCTCGAAGAGGGCTTGAAGCAATAGCTCATATCAGCTAATAACAGTCTTTGGTATCAAAGGTCCTTGGTTTTCCTCAAGGCCTTGAGGGACCAAATGCGTCTATAAATACAAGAAGTCAGTGAGGGACTTTGCCCTAGGTCTCGTGACCGTAGCCTTTGTGTAACCTTTGACATTGGGCCATTTCCGTGTAACATCGTGGGCTGCAAATACTACGGGACTCGTAATGGGCTGAAATACCCCGAAAGGAGAGTCGTAAAAGTGCAGTAAAAGGATGTGCAGTTGCAGCGAAAAGGTGTTCAGTAAAAGAACAGTGTCGTAACTAAGCGCTTACAAATTTCGGTGCACAGCGCGTTCGCAGAGAGATTAGAAATCATTTGCCGCCGGATGTTCATGGCAAATTTCGCGACGAAAGTTCACTATAAGATGCCATCAGAAGACAAATTACCATATAATGTGTCCTTAGGCCTGACTTACCTTATGTCTTGCGCCCTCAATCCCGACATCAAGTAAGCCTGCCCGACAATAAGTAACCCTATCCCAGAGTCCCAGACTACCGCGGTGCACTCGACCTTGACCCTGAGCACTTCCGGAAGCAAGTCCTCTTTATACTACTAAATATCTCACCGCTAACCGTTAAGATTTAGGCTTATTTTAACGTTATTCAGAATTAAAAGAGATAGATATAATGGGACAAGTTTTGTCGCTCCCGCAGCTGAGTGGAGCAATAACTGACTTGGAAGAAGCCATTAATATAGGTGAACTAGATACAGCCGTCAAGAAGTTGGGAACAGTGACATCGATGGAAGATGGCAGCACAGGGACCCATGAAACTAATAGGCTATAATAACTTAACTACTTTCCCTTCTCACGCTTAAGTATATAATTTTTTCTTGTGCTTTGTCTAGTTTACCCCTAGTTTAGTAATTCCTAAACTCCCGCACTAGAATCGGCTACTAAGAAGCTCCTACTCCAGCTTCCGAGTCTGCTATCACGTTGAGACATTTAAACTCCTCACAAACCACTACATCATGTCAAGCTTTCGTTCCTCAAGGCTCTTTTGGGCAAGCCGCTTGCGGTTTGGTCTCCTGTTGGACCAATCAGAACCTCTAAAACTTATCTGCACTAAACCCTTATTATTCGGGAAAACTTAAGAACTGATGTATTCACAGCCTTCGGCTGAATAGTAATTCTTATAACGGAATAATATTATATGAAAACAGTAGAACAGTTTGATCGGGTCTACCTAGCCAGTTAATGAGATCATTTTTTATAGATAGTAAGAGACTTCGCACAAGCCAGCCCGTCAGGTAAGTCACTCTATAGTTATAAACGCACTTAGGACTGAACGAAGAAGGCCTTGTATTTTGAGTGTCATCTACATATGGCCTCATTCAAGTCTAGCTTGCACCCGCGTGAAATGGGTACTTAACGCTGGGGATGTTAGCTGCTGTACCACGCTTAATAAGGTGATAACACTTACCCCTAGTCTAGAAAGCAAGTCGAAAGTCACACTGGAATCGATTCTTATCCCAGTTACAAGATGATTTTATTATTGCCGCTTGGTTCAAACGGGTTCAAAAAAAAAATCGTCATCAAAAGGAAAGAGACTGCTTGGACTACTAGGAGTATTACCGCCAGGAAAGTCGGGAAGCAAGAGATTGTTCGGAACAAGATCATTCGACACAGAGGGAGCAGGACCGGCCGGATTAGGTGACGAATTTCCGAACTGATGATTGCGAACCTCGAGCGGCGCAGCCGCAACCAGACGAACGAATAAAATGGCTAGGGTGACTGTGAGCTTCATTTTAAAGTGGAGGCTTGATAATAAGATCTTGGTAAGTAGAGAGTAGTAGAAGAAGTTGATAGTAGTGGGATGCAGATATGTATTTCTATCCAAGGCTGTCCTTGGCTTTATATAACTACCTTTTTTTCGAGGAGACTTCGATTCTAGAATTTTGCAGAAACTTGAGGATTACGTATCACGGCAGAGCCATTACTCAATCTCGAAACAGTTCCTAATTAACAAGAAACTGCTATGTAGGCGGAGCTCCCGAATTTTATGCGCAACTCCTGGGAATAGCTTGTTGCTGTAGTGATGAACTCACGATATATTCGGCCGCGTGCACACAATGCATAGTAAGTGAGCGGGAAGCTCCTCATGCCAACAGCATTAGTCGAGACATTAGTGCGGCAGTAGATACTATTCCTGACGTATATGCTACACTAAGCTGACTCGTTGCGAGACCAGTTGACTTCGAATATTAGTAGTACGGTTCGCAGACTTTGAGAAAGTGGATCGATGTGTGTTTCAACAATGCAATAAAGCTTGGTATTGGGAGCGTTACCAGCGTGTGGCGTGGAACTGAAACCGTAAATCCCGGGGCTTGTTGCCTAGGAACCTATTGAACCCTAAAGAGTACACGCTGCCGAAAATGCGCCGTCATCTTCGGTGCCGACGGCGGCGTAGCAACGGTCCCAGGCAATCCGTTTTAAGTCCCTGCTGAAAAGCCATTCGGAATCGACTCAGGTTATCGGAATGTAATATATGTGAAGGTATCAGGGGCACGAACAAGGTCAAGTGCGACTTGAATAAAGCGATTATTCACACGGAGAGTAAGAGATTTGTTTGGAAGCTTTGGAAGCTCTGGCCAAGATACCTGTTAAAAGCGTGCACTACAAGTCGAGGGGAAAACGAATCGCCAACTCATTCACCACCAAGCTTCCACTCGATATATATTCTACCCTATACACTCTATCACATTTATTGCGGTCAGTTAATGCGGTCAATCGGACAAGTTGCCGCCTTGACTATGACCCACTCGACGAGAAACAACGGCACGGAACCGGAACAGGAACAAAGGTCGGAAAACGTTGCCACCGCCGAAGTGGCAACGGAAACCGGGGAAAGCCGCGCCGTGTAAAAGCAAAATAGTCAAGTCGAGTTGAACTTAATTTACACTTTGTGCCAGGAAAAGCCACACGTAATAAGGAACGGTAAACAATAAATAAAAATATAAACACAGCAGCCACAAGGGCCCAAGAAGTTGAGATTCTGAAAGCTCTAAAAAGCTAGTTGTATAATTGCATAGAACGCGACGAGGCGCGTGACCAGCTCCTGAGGCCACGTTACTAGTTGAGATAATGCAGCAACATTACTCCTCCAGCAAGCTAGACCAACTCATGCCAAGATGGAAAACTTATTCCCATCTTTGGGCTATTACTGGTGAACTGAAAGGCTTGGCCCTGCAGTTTTTCTGGGTGAACCTAGTATACGCTTTACTGGCCTGTTTATATAGCCTGCTTAGGTTAACGTCTTTAGACACTTATAAACGCATAAACTTCCCCCTTCTCCCGCATGCGCAATCACGGCAAATCGACACATGAAATAACAAAACGCTGAAGTCAGTGGTCTTAAACCTAGAAAAGAAGATTCGTGCACTAGAATTATTATACGTTGTTATTTCTTAAGTATAAAAAAAAGGCCTCTTCTATTATGTTTGAGACGCCTGTTGGCCTGAGTCGATTCGCATACAAACAAGTCAAGCTGGAATAGGAAGGAGGGATCAAGAGACTGGAATATGCAACGCTCCGGCGCTTCAAAATTCTCGCTCGCTTTGCCTACCCCTTGGATAACTCGTTTGTTGACATCAGGGTCTTGTAGCTCCTATTGATCGGACTTGCTCTCCCATCGAGTCTGTCTGTTGGTAGCCGTGTGTCGCAAATTCAGTATTCATATCATTGAATAATGCTCGATTCAATTAGACTTTCAGGAATATATTAGTAGCATGGCCAACTGCTAGTTGGTTAAATGCGTAATGCGCATAAAATATGACGCTTTTCAACCCGTTTCACATGTAGAGAAAAATGCATACGCTTATTATGCAGTTGTAATCGAGCCGAGAGCCTAGTTTGCCACGTGCTATGTTGCTATTAGCCTTGCGGAATTTCTAAGCGCAGGCGTTGACTTCAGAGGAACTATTCGTTATTAGCCACGAGTAGATATTGCTTCCCTCACTTAAATAGAGGTAGATGTAATAGGGTTCAAAGCCTAGAACAACCTTTCTGTGCTATTTTACAACACCTTGGTAACGTATTGCGCGGCCTCGTACGTAGCCCACTTGCTCGGCTTCATTACGTAAAAAGCCCTCGGTACGCACTCAACACTTTGTTTTTGGAAGACGCTGGAATCTGCTTGTCTCACCTATTACTTGGCAGTTATCGTCCAAGAAAAATGATCAATTGACGCGAGTCAGGCATCAGGCAAAATTACACCCAGCGAATCGGGTCACTGTCGACTCTTGGGGCGCGGAAATGCAAGCGTACCGGCACATGTAGAATGTTCATGCTCCCTAACATATTATCAATGCGCATAAAGCATATATACAAATGAATATAAGTGAAAATATTCACATGGCTTAGCCAATCCTCGACGCAACTATATAAGAGCACTACAGCCCTCGTCGAATCTGCTTTACATCACCACTACCTTCTCTCATCATCGACGAATCCCGAGATAAATTGACGGACGATGGTCGATACAACGAATGCATTGCCCCAGCCGTCCAAGGCGTCGGGGACTGCATGAATGCCAAAAATACTAACAAGACGGTGTTACAATGCCAGGGGGCACAGGTCAAGACGTACATTCAATGCACTCTCCCTGGCGAACCGGGGAAGCCCACGAATGCGCAGGATGCCGAATTTGACGACATCTGGAAAAAGACGTGCTCGGCTCCGTCTGTTAAAGCCATTGAGGAGTGAAGAGGCAGGACGGACTTAGGCAATAAATAAGAGCGTGAACGCAACGATAATAATATGAAGTGCTTGCTTGACAACACTAAGACTCGTGCCGAGAGCGACCTTGTTTACAACACATGCTCCGCTTCGGCCATCGCCGCTGTGAAAGACTGCTTTCTCACCAATAATAAGGCACGCAAGACGCTACTGCAATGCTAGCGGGAACAATGGGATGCCTATCCCGAGTGCGTGAAGAAGAGTGCGTCGCAAAAGCCGGCTGTGACTGGACCAGCGTTGCAAAACTCGACTGTGATTGAAACCGCCGAAGACGAGTGCAGCACGAGCATCCAGCAAGCTTTCACGCGCTGGCCTAGTCTACGGGCATGAATAAAAAGTTGGTGGAAAAGAATCTCGGCTCTTGGGCCTAGACTTTGTGTGTAACAGCTCGAGTTAAACTGGTGGCTCGGCTTGCATTTCGGGCAGAAATGAGTTGCATCGAGATGAAAGAGCTCTTGATTTCTATTTTTTTTTTCTTAGAGAAGTAGTAGTGGCTTAGTTAACTATACACTCGTTTTGTCTTTCCAAGGGTCCTTTTCATACCCGGCCGTGTCTTTTCTTCCTATTGACCTTGTCGTGAACTCTGCTTCCGTTCTTCTTGGGAGCCGGCTTGCAGGTCCTCTTCAAAACCTACTCCTCGACGTCTATGCTGTACAGACTTCCGATTCTCTGGGCCCAACTTGGCCAAGGCGTTTCGATGCTCCGGCTCACTCTGCCCCACGTGTAAGCGAGTGTCAGGCATCTCGACGACGAAGGCTTAGCCACTGGTGACGTTCTCACAATTCGTATGTTTGAGACCCTCGTCGGCCTCGCTCTCTCCTCATCTATTATGAGCTCTGTCTTCTCTACATCCATCGATGGGGCAGTCGAGGGGCTGACTAGAGCTTTGGCGCCTTTAAAAAACGCTTTCAATGCTGTCGAATCCATTGGTGAGTTGACATCACTAGACGTCTCTGCTTCCACCCTGCATTAGATTCTGCGGGTCTACCTCGAGTCCTTCCAGGCCATTTTTGACATCGGTGGGTTGACAATGGTGATCTCGGTGTTTCTTGATGAAATTGAACCGAAGCGAAAGGACCTTGAATCGGTACTTCGAAGACGAGTGGCTCTTGAGGTAAAGGGGGGAGCCCCCCTCGCGTTCAAATTCTCCGACACGCAAGGGAAAATATTTCTATGAAAATAGTAGTGAGACCCACAGAATGAATGGCATGTTGGCGATGCGCTTCGTGTATGTGTTGCTATAGGTAGACCTGATAATGTCTCGGCTAAATGTTTGATGCTGCTCAGCTTTCGATGAATTCTAATTACACAGCTTTACTTTACTCGATTAGTGCTAAATCTGAGCTTGCCATGGTGTGTCTTCTCCTTCAGGATGTGTGAAAATGCTAATAGAAAGCATCAAAACATCGTTCAAGGCAGACAAAAGGGAAAGGACGCATGTCCACAAGTGCTGCTCTCATTGACTCGATAGGCTCTCTATGCCCACCTGGCAAAGGAAACAAGCACTGTGCCACGGTCTTACCCAGAATGTCTTATTCAGTCTTACAAATATAAAAGGCTAGTTCGTTTAGATTTGGATATCTGCCCATTCCCCAGCTTCGACATGTCATGAACGCATACATCCATCTCACCGGTTGGGTCGCATCGCGTCTTCGTCCTGCGTTATGCGTCCCGCAGCATTTCCATTCCGTACTCTGAATAATCTAATTCCAACCATACGGACGACTAAGACATGTCTGTCTAGTGCCTAGTGGGTAGTGGAACGGGGTGGCTGTGTAGAACTAGGATGATGCCTAGGCGCGGAGTAACATGTTTTTCGGTCTAGTTAGCAGTGGATAAACGCTCTTCATAGCATAACTGAGCGCACCTTGGGATGAATGGTTCTATCGAGACCGATCTCCGGGCCACAAATCTTTGGCGGTACGTCCCGCCCGAGGATTGAACCCAGGGACTACATGTTGCAACGAATCGGATGCTAGAGGCTCGGATCATGGCTCCTGGTCCTACGGGAATCTGATCATAATATGGTATGAGCTATTAAATAGCTTCCAAAGAGGGTTAGGCGATATTGTGGCTGCCAGTCGGTGGTACTGGCGGACGACGTTTCAGGTATACTTGGCCCCTGTTGTTTACTATATTAAGACGAAAATTGGGCAAGACGGGTTAAGTGGCCAGTCCACTTAGTTGCCAACAGGTAGACATGTATCTAAAAGATCGACTATAGCAGCGCTCATGTAGCTGTGTGTCAGTTGCCAAAATACGGGTTTCAGTCTCAAGTGCCAACGTAAAGATACACTGCTTCGTATTCTTAACCAAACATTCAATTTAGCTCAGTACGTATCAAGGAGACAAATAACCTGAATTGTGTCAGATTTATCAACTTTCATGTGCAAGACTTGTCAATGACTTGTAAGATAGAGTGGATCAGAGATTTGGGCCATCTATACAGAGTGGCATGTACAATCAATTGATACGCCATGGCAAGGGAGCCAGCTCCTCCCTCTCCGCATATGCGCAGGACTTATATTATCATAAGATTAAAGTGCTATGTGTATCACGCCATATCCCGGTAGTAATGAAAAGTTTTTGTAATATGAAAAGCAAGGTGGGATCGCCACGACCCAAGAGACCAAACGACGCAAACGGTGGGATATTGGGCAACGGGCATCTATTGCTACATCATTTTGCCTGGCTCGGCGTATGAACCCGATATCCTTTGTGGTGAGACTGAATTTCAAATATATAAAGCGTAGATGTTGCCCGGTTCTATGATAGCTTTACCAGACATCCCATTATAACATTATCTTGTCTGTATCAAGGACAACATAGACAACACACAGAAAGCCTCAAGTCATCTTGATCGCCTTGTTGATCAGCGGGCAACGTGCTTGCACCGCCGAAAAAAACGCAATGCCTCGCATCAGTACAGCCACGGCGATCTTGTCTCTGGGTAGAAATGATCCATCTGAAATTATCTGACCATGTTGTTTGTCTACGCTAATACGAGACCAGGACTTGCAAGCGTCAGCCGGGCCCTGAACCCCGTCATTCTCGCCGACACAAACCGTGACGGCAAAGTTGATGTGGAAGGCAGCACTGATCTTGCCGGAAAAGAAACTTGGACTGAGCAGACCGGTGCTCTGTTTCTGGCCAACATCGTAGATACGAACCGGCGCTGCTCTGACAAGATCATTACCAGTTTCGATGTCGGAGACGGTCCTGATCCTTCTACGCCCAACCAAGAACTAGACAAATGCCATGACGCTGCCGATAATGTGCTGCGCAATTCCAAGTATCTGGCTGCCCTGAAAACTGCACCCATGGCAGATGTGAGCAGCTCGGCTACCGGGTCCATTGCCGTGCTGGGAGAAGCAGCCGCCGAAAAGGTCCGCGTTTTCCACAAGTCGGGCAATGACTGGTTATACGTGGCCGCCAACTACACCTTCGCCGCCGACGAAATCAAGAAGGGCCTGGAACTTGGCATTGACGCCCGCGACGTTCGCCGCCCGGGTGTCTGGGACGGCAGAGCTACTGTACAGTTCAGCGTCAGTGACGGTGCCGAGACGGCCAAGGACTCGGTGGCTCTCCGGGTTGCTCCCGTCTTGACGCACCACCATCTGCAACAGGCCAGGGAGATCATTACCATGAGGCCCACGGAGAAGGGCCTAGGAGCCAGGTTTGCCAAGGAGCTGCAGGACCACATAACAAAGGCCGGTATTCAGAAACCACTACGGCTGGTTGGGGCGGACCAGTTTCCCCAGGACCATTTCGAAGCTGGATATACCAGTATTCCCGGGCCAGATGGACCTGTCACGCTGGGAGTTATGATCCGGTCCGCCATCAATAACACCGAGGGAAGAATCGCCTTCTCCGATATGCGATCCGACTCCGTTGGAGCCGTCCAGTTCCTCCAAATCGACAACCATGACAGTGATGTAGATCACACGGGCAATCTGGAGACTATTCCTCCCCATTCGCACAACGGCAAGTCGTATCCAGCTGGACGTGTAATCATGGGGTCGCGAGGCGGGCAAAAGGCCAACATCATCAAGCTCCTAGAGGCCCAGGAGATGCAGAAGCCCGTGGACATTGACACAACTTGGCTGTACATCGGCCACACAGACGAGTTTATGCAGTTCGTCCCCGCCGACAACGAGCGCGGCTGGGCCATGATGGTGGACGACCCCCTCGCCGGCCTTGATCTCCTCGTAAAGGCTCAAAAGGCAGGCCACGGCAATGTCCGGGCCCTGTCGAGGCCGAGCTTCCCTACCGACAGCGCCGATAGCCGGAAGCCAGATGATGTCAGTCTTCCGGCCATGACCATCGACGCCGTGCTCAGCCGGGCCAACTTTTCCCGGGCCCAGGAGTACGCCGCGTGGAACATTGAGCGAAACATCAACATTGTAAAGCAAGAGGTTGGACTCGACGATGGCGAAATCTTTCGCGTGCCGGCGCTGTACTACAACGAAGCCATGGCCGGCCCAAGACCGTACCAGCCCAAAAAGTACCTGCCGGAGCCGGGCCAGGAGGAAGAACACATCAAGGACCGCGACCACGCCTTCCAGGTATATGCATTCTACCCCGGCGCCGTCAATGGCATAGTCCTCAGAAAGGGAAAGTACTTGTCCGCCAACGTATGGGGGCCCGTCATTGACGGCAAGGACATTCTCAAAGAGGCTGTCAATGCGGCATATGCCAAGGCCAACATGACGGTGGACTATATCGACGACTGGTTCTCGCACCACGAGGGTGTCGGCGAGATACACTGCGGCTCAAACGCCATTCGCGATACTGATTTTCCCTGGTGGTAACGTGCAAATCAGGTCCAACTAGCACCGGGGACTATATGTCCCATCCATAGCTTCCGCCATGACGACAGTGTCACTCATCTAAGACGGCTGGAAAGGTTTCTTTCTACAGTACATATTTACTTTAGGCGAGTCAGAGGCCGCTGCCTCTCAATACAAGTGATGTCTTCGCTCAACCGCCGTCTTTGCACAACTCTTTCCCATGCCGTGCTCCGTACTTCCGCAGAGGGAAACTTGGCCTCGCGTGGGATCTCAAGGAACCCCTTACGCTATTAGAAACAACCCCATCCACCCCATGTAAACTTCAAGCTCTGCCGTAATTATTGGTGCCTTTCTGGTCTCATCGTCTCCAATGCAGCGGGTCTCAACGGGCTGTGCAAACGGACCACACCGAGTCCAAAGGAGGCGCAGCATTATTACGATTGCCTCTGGAAGCATATGACTTATGAGGAGGAGCCCATCTGTCCCATTTCTGCGGGTAGCAGCCAAATATAGCATAACTTAGGAGCCCCTTAAGAAAGGGAAAGGAGGCCCGTCATGACTCATATTGGTATCTCGTCTTCTGCGCCCCTGTGGTCCTGTAAGTGGAAATTGGGAACCTCGAGGCTAAAGACAACACCAGACGCGTATCAAATAACTTGACTGCACTCGACATGTGGTGCATTTTGTCCGCGGCATTATTTGGCAGGCACGTACCGTCCCTTCGACCTGACGAGAGCTCGCAAGGGACCGAGACCTAGTTGAGGCCTTTGGCTTCAAGAGTCGCTTGCTCATCGCTGCTGTGTATAAATAACGGCCATATGCCCTCGGAGACATGAGAAGGCCAATGATTAGTCGCTAAATACGGATATAGTTCCAAGCCCTTGTCAAGGGAGACAGAGACTAGGGTCTCAGTGTTAAATAGAACGTATTCTAGAGGCATATTCAAGACGCTTCCCACAAGCCTCCTTGTGGCTACTAGCACCGAAACACCCCTGTTTGCCTTGTCCAATGCCTGGTGAAAGGTACCAAAGGCGTAGACGAGTTCCACGGCGTGATGGGCAATGCCCTGCTCGGGGCCCGGAAAGGGATTACGAAACTCGACACAGTAACATGGAACACCCAGGCGGTTCGGGTCCTGGCCAGAGAGTAGAGCTTGCTTCCTGCGATGAGTTTTGAAGAATTCACCTGCATGACATGCTTTATATATCATGGTAGTAATAAAATTAACCCGGGTGAGCGCCTCGAAAAACGCTTCATCAGACGATGTGGGCAGGATATTATATGCTTGAAGAGCGTTTTCAGCTGCAGACTTCGAGGTATGGCCCCATGTGAAAAGAGCGTGAAATTTGGCATAAACCACATGCAGCTGGCCTAACGAATAGAGCTAATAATCTCGTCGGCGGTCGTGCCGAGCGCGATTTGTTTTTTGTCGCCTGTCGCCTCGACTTGATTGTCTCTCTCGCCATCGCCAAGGTGGATGGAAACCTCACAGCACATATCTTGTCTCATGCTGAATACGGTAATGTAAAACGCATCATAATGCTGGGGCAACATACCCCATGGTGGATTCGTGGCAGCGCCATGCGCGAGGCCTCGGCCATGGATCCAGATGAGCACCAGCAACTTGGTCGTCTCGGCGTCGATGTCGTGCTTTGCGAGACTACAACCAAACTGGTTGGAGAATTTCTTGCCCGACTACTGCAAGTAGCTCACCTTTGCGGAGAAAACCCCCGGCGACCAGGTATAGTTGTTTACAACGGCAGACCCTTGATATCGCATACCTGCCTTGGCTAACAAGGTAGCCAGAGGACCAAGTGTTTTAGTTGACACTAGCAGTTTAACTAGAAATAAACAGTATTCTCTATGCCTGCCTCGCTGACACGCTATATTGAAATCAATGAGTCGCCAAGCCAATGCAAGCCGTCCTGTTAGCCAACAAGGACATACAAGTGCAATCAAGACCACGACGCACGAAGCATTCGGCCAGCAAACACGACTTCAAAACAAGGTTATATGGCCGGAGTATGGCCGAAGCATCAGGAAGCGAGCAGAGCCTCGAAAGCAAATCTAATGCAACATCATTGAAACCCATCCTCGTAGCAGTTGAACTCCGCCCTTGCCCTACCAAAAACCAACGCAACGCAACGCATATGCAATGCTCGCCCAAATACCGCAAGCCCCATCTCATGCTCAATTCTCTATTGCCCCGAATCTCGCCGACAAAATCTGACTCAATTCAGCTAATTTGACTGGCTTGGTCAAAAACAAATCGATCCCGCTTGTAAATGCCTCCTGCTGCGCATCCGCACTCGCCAACCCCGTCAGCGCAAAGATTGTACACCGATGCAAACCCTTTTCCATCTCCGTGCTTCGTATATGCCGCGTTGCTTCGAAGCCATCCATCACCGGCATGGAAATGTCCATGAAAACACACTTGTAGAGACCGTTTCCTTCGCGGAATAAGTCGACGGCTTGTTGGCCGTTTGTGGCGGTGCGGTAGGGTAGTCGAAGTTTCTTCATGTAAGTGATGAGGATTTTGAGGTTGATGGGGTTGTCGTCGACGAGTAGGAAGCTTGTGCCTGGTTGGTTGGAGTCGATGTCGGATGTGGTTGAGTCGGGGTATATGGCTGCGAGGGGGGTGGATCGACGTACTCGTTCAGGCAGCGAGATGTCATGAAACGAGTTTGGGATAACCGAATCGGGTATTCCGTCAGCGTGGTGCGAGTTTGTTTCCGGCACGGCGACCGTTGCGTTGGTTGGGCGAGGGCCGTCTTCGTCTTCGGGGGTTTGAGCCGCCGACAAGGGGTTGAGAGTTGCTTGGTAAGTTGTCCATCGCTTGAATGTCAGTGATAGGACTTTGGCCAGTTTTCGAGGACCAACACTAAACATCATGTCAGCACTTTGTAATCGTCTTTTTTTTTTTTGGAGTAGGCTGAGGCTTACGGCTGGGCGCTAAACTCCCACAATTGGTCGTTGGGTCTGCGCTTGAATATTTTGTTCTCTGCCAGGTCGCGAGCGGACACCGCGTTCCTGCAAATGACCACTGCGGGAGGTGAAGAGGCGTTTCGCTGGGTATGGATATGAGAATTCAGGTGCAAATACGTCTCGTCGCATAGCAACAAATCTGGTATAAAAGTATTGCTTTGAGATGGATCTACCACCTGCATTTGCAGCCAATCTCGGCATATATTCGCAATTCCCTCGCGTTCAACAACATTCGTTCCAAACACACCGTCGTCACTATCAACGGATGGCGTATCACGGAAGCCCAAAAGAAGCACTCGTAAGCCCTTCAAATCGTTCTTTTGAGACTCAAATTCGTGACCGGGATTCTGCAGCCTTGGAGTTGCGGTTTCTGGCACCACGGGAGAAAGTGGTATTGTGACGGATACACTGGTTCCTTTGTCAACCACGCTCTGTATTGAGATGGACCCCTTGAGTGCCGTCACAATTCTTTCCACAAAACTGAGGCCGAGGCCCATTCCTGGCTTGAGGCCGTCCTCTTGGATAAACGGAGTGAAGATGTCGTTCTCGAGATACGATTTGCCAATTCCACAGCCAGAATCTGTTACTGTTAGTCGCACATAGGTGCCCTCTTGCTCCCCAACAGCTGGTGATATCTGCGGCTGGTCCAGAGAAATCTTGACAAATCCCTTGGTCGTGAACTTGAGCGAATTGCCAACCAAATTCATAACGACCCGACGCAATGCACCTGGTTGTGTGTAGAATTCCCACGAAGCGTTGGGTTCAATGTCGACGCATATCGTAGAGATGTCAGATTCCTTTTGTGCCGCCAAGCAGTCAACCAACTCATTTGGCTGCATTGCTTCTGAGCCGGCTGGATTTCCGGTTTGTGCCACGTTTGACCCCAGCGTCCGGAGCTGAAAAATACGTCCTGCGTAGACACTTTCCACAACTTCCTCCACGATCAAGTCCACACTGACGCGTGACACTATGCTCATCATGCCTGATTCAATAGTTGCCATTTTCCCCGACCGTAATCCTCGTTCTTCTACGTCGCCATTGTCTTGCGGTACGGATGTCGGCGAGAGAAAGTTATTGACTCCGCTCCAGTCCAACAGATGGTCGACAGTGTCAAGCAGAGTACGGCTGCAAGTCTCCATAGAGTGCAGCAGGTCTCCTTGGAATGCATCCAAAGCAGTATCATGGAGTAGTTCGGCACCGAGAATGATGCCGTGGAGAGGTGAACGCAGTTCGTGAGATATGGAGCTCAACACATCCATTTTGGATTGTTCCACCACCTTGGAGTCTATCCGGAACACCTCTGCCATGATGACAGTGCCAAAAGCCAAAAGATAGCTTAATTCTCCCTCCACGGACAAGACGCGTGACGCTTTCTTGGTGTATGCGAAACCACCAGCATACCACCGGCGTTTTTGGGGGTCCCAAAGAGGGAAAAAGGCAACGTTCCGGGCCCCAGGTAGCAAGTCTCTCACAAAATCCTCCATGTCGTATTCGGATTTCATTGATTCTGACGACTTCGCCTTTTGAAGGTCCAGATGCAATCCTAATGGTTGCCGGGGAATGTCCAAGACAGGCTGCGTTCCTTCATCAGAAATAGCTGTTGTATCATTTGGTGTGTTGAGTTCGTTCAATGTGACGATGGTGCCTCTGGGGTACTTCTTCAAATAGTCGCCCAATGCATGTTCGGGGAGCTGCTTGTAGCATTGCTCCTGATCGTGCCCATCAATGCTGGAAGAGTATGACGTGGAGAACCCGAGAACCTTGCAGCACGAGCAGTTATTCAGAGCTCCAGCTGCATAATGCATACTGGTGGCGGATGCACGACGCTCACCATCACGACTTCCCGCGATTCCACCGACAGTAGCTCGTCCGCCAAAGGATGAGATTCCAGCATCCAAGAATAGCACGCCGTCGGCTTCGATTGATTCACGTATAATCTTTGCCGCCTTGGAGAAGATGTGCTTTGCAGATTTGGTAGAAGCATCGTTGACATGGCTCTTCTTGTCCTTACTAGCTGATGCTTGAGTTGTTGGATCTACATCCCATTAGTGCATGCCATCAGCAGCACAGCATACATCAGAGTTTCCAAATGAGCACTCACCTTCTTCTGCGTCACCAGCATTAGTATCAGCCCGATCTTCCGCTTCATCGGCACAAGGCGCAACCTGCCACCCCGAGGTCGTTGACTTGCCCTGTACGAAGCTCCCAACACCCTTCACCATCCTATCAGCCCTCCTTTGACCATCTCTAAACCTTCGCGTCTCTAAATATCCCATAATCGTTCGCGAAATGTCCTGCATGATCGGAGAAATATTGGGGTCCTCTCCCTCCCGGCCGTCCATATCCAACACGCTAAAAACACCGATATATATTCCCTTTGGAGTCCTTAGCGGAACACCAGCATAAAACTTGTAAGGTGGCCAACATGGCAAAGCGGTTACCCCCTCCATGAACGGGTGGTTTTCCAGGTCACCTATAACAGTCACAGGAAGTTCCGGATAAGGCTCCTGGCCACACTTTATCCGCTCATGAGTAGCCCCCGGGGCCAAAGACGTAAGAACATGGTCGCAAATACTACTTGAGCGAGGTAGGGAGGTGCCCCAAAGCAAGAGTTGCGCCTCGAGTCCATCCCGCCCGCTAGGCTGCTGAGCAGCGCTGCTACCTGGTGAGAGCGGAGTCGTAGGCGTAGCCTCGGCGACAATATACTGATGCTGCCTATCGAAGAGCGAAACAAAGGCACGGCAAGCGTTGAGACGGTGCACGCCCAATTCTGCAAAGGCAGTCAAGGATGGGTCGGGAGTAAGTTGTGAGGGGAAGATTGGCGCCTCGTCCGGGTTGGGAAACAGTTGGTTGATCAAAGACGAGTCGTATCTATACTCAAGAGGCTGTTAGCACGCGAATTATCAGTAGCTACGTTGAAACTGCCGCATGGAAAATGTACCGAAACGTCTCGCGCTCACGGGCTTCCTCGGCTACGACGTTGGCGGCCATGGCTGCCTCCAATGACGCGACACCTCAGTCGTCAAGGCGAGGAGAGGCGAAATATCATGACAGAATTGCCTGCGGCGCACTGAGGTTTGGCCTTTGCAGCGACCGTGGTGAGAAGTTTTGCGCTTAAGCGTACGGAGCTTGCGGAAGCATATGGGTGGAAAAGCTACCAACGGTCGAAAGAGATGAAATTCCAATATTCTTTTCTCAGCCCGGTGTCGTCTGCCCCACCAAATTTTGACAGTGCGACACCAGCTGGTCAAGAGAGGACATTTGACGACAAGAGGGGAGACGGGCTGGCGGACTAAGTGGAGTCAGGGTCCCTCCATCAGAGCTGACCTAGGACTAGGTCTCTAATGTGGCGGACTATGGCAGCAAGGACCTCGAGGCCTGAACCTTTCAGGATAACGCCACCGGCAGATCTAGATTGCGGTTGATGCATGGGGCATGCGAGGAAGCCCATCAACTCATTCTCACACTTTTGAAAGATGTCTCTCCATAACAGCCGAGTCTGCTCGTGCGATATTTACCTCCGACCCATTACTGGTGTTGCGCTTCGCGAGTTTTAATCCAAATCCTACATTCTAATTTCATAGCCTGGCCTGTTCTCTTGAACCACAACAATCAATCACTATATAGTTACGAAGATGGGTATAATCCAAAAGAGATGAAGAAATAGAATACATTTGGCATCGAGCCTCAATGCAAGGGTTTACCCAAGAAAATGAAACAAATCAGCCAATGTAACACGCCGAAACCAATTTTGTATCCTTGTATCTCCAGTCTTCGATCTCCAGCCTCCATGTCATTATCGGCTAGATACTGGTTAACTAGCAAGACGAGGGCTGCTTCGGTGCGTCTTTCGCGGCGCGAATTCTTCCCCGTCGCTTCGCATATATTAAGCCACACACATTGCACAGAGTCCCAGGGCCAGCTGGGCCATTTCGCCATTTCGGTGTTTGGTCGGTCAAGCATGTCCGGCAGCAGGCAATGCTTCGCTGTCGCTTTGCGGGAATTCGTGGGCCCGGGCTTGAATCTTCGCTCCTCCTTCTCCTGGGGCATGTATTCTCCAAAGGGTGCGGCTGATGATATTGGCTTTCTCCAGGACTAATGGGCTCTTCTTGTATGCTTTCGCTCTCTGTTGGGATCGCATTCTGATTTCGAAGGGCAAAAATTTTGTCAACGTTGTTTCCTATGTTTTGAGACAGTTCCAGAATCGCGTAAAGGTCATCTTCGCTGACCCTTTCACCAGCCGCCCCGTGTTCCTTGGGGAAGTGGCCAATGTGCCACGCTAGGAGTCCGACGTCGAGCTTGATCTGGTTGACGAGGTCATTATGATGGGCTTAAGAGGACAGGAAGAAAAAAATAGCGAGCACTTACTGTATCAAAGCTTTCGCCTAGTCTGAGGTCGTTCAGAGAAAACTTGACACCAGCCGGCTTGGAAGACCCGTTGAGCGGGGCATCGCAGTCTCGCTGGGGACTTCCATGATGGCACAATGCCTGCTCGCCGGCCGTGTTAGAGGCGACAACAGACATGTACGGTTGGGCGCTTCGAGGGAGATAAAAAGGAGATATGAAGTCAATTTATCGGTCGAGTATTGCAAGGCAAGCCACCTCGAATTGACACTGGTAACGAGACGGCATGGGGAGTTGTTCAGCGAGGGAGGACTCGGGCAGGGCGGAGGAGCTGGCAGTTTTGGGAGTCGCCACGGAGAAAGGGGTAGAAGCGATGTGTTGTAGAATGACAAGATCCCAGAGGAAAAAGAAAAGATGCTCAGCACGGGAAATAAGCAGATGGGCAGAGCTTTGATGGCAAATGTGGAATTCTGATAATGGATGTGAATGGGAAAAGAGAGAAAGGCCCATAGTTTGTGGAGGTGGAGAGCAAAGGTCCAAATGTCCGATGTCACTTCAAGTCCGGTCAATGGTCCACTTGGATGCTGAGGAAGCACCTGCAGTGGGTACCGCTAATTTCGAAGCTTTTTTATGTCCCTGGGTGCCAGGCTTAATATACTGATTGGCAGGTGGAGATGCGCGTCAGACAGCCTCATGTTGATGCAGGTGTCGCTGGACTCGGAAGTCCCATTCAATCTGCCACCGTCAGTGTTTCAATGTCGGCACATATCAGGCGACCAGCTTGCTTGCTTGCTTGCCTCTGTCGTCGTCGTCGCTTGCTGCTCGGTAAATGTGTAGTTGTCTAAAAGGAAAACATTGAACACTAGGTTATAATCTCCCTTAACCAACACAGAACCTTGTCGACTAAAAGCAGTGTTGCGGCTTGGGCATTAGTGAAGGTTAGGAGGAGGGAGGAAACAAAAGAAGAAAAGTGTCATGAAGGGAAATCCACTTAATGTCTGGTGAAAAGCAGGAATCGAATAGAATATTTGTCAACTTTAAATCACCCCCCTTTTGTCTATGCATAAAAGTGACTTGTCTAACCCAATCATACGCTACCTTCATATATCTCTCAGTCATCCTGCAGACAGTGCACCTAGTCCGATATTTTTATGCCAGGGTCTTGGCTTCACCATCCTTGAGCTTGCCAGCATCAACAAGCCTCTTGACCTCGTCGTTCCAAACAGCCTTGATCTTATCGGCCACAGTCAGACCATTAAGCTTGCCGGCCAAAGCAGCAATCTCGTCTGGATCAATCTTTCCCTGGACGAGCTCGACATCTCCCAAGACAGCATCGATCTGGGCAGCCGACACGTCGCCAGTGGCAAAGTAGTTGGCATCTTTGATGGAACCCTTGAGCACACGCTTGTTCTTCTTGACGGCGTTCTTGGCAGCTTCCTTGGCCTTCTTTGCAGACTCGCGGTCGGCTTTGGCAGCAGCCTCGGCCTCAGCTTGGGCCTTCTCCTCCGCCTCTTTCTTGGCCTTGGCGTCCTCGGTGGCCTTTTTCTCGGCAGCCTCTTTTTCCAGACGCTTCTTGTTCTTGGCAGCATTGGCCTCCTGTCTAAAGCGCTTGATACGCTCGTCACCAGCAGACGCTTCATCCAGTAGCTTGCGGAGGCGGGCGTTGTCTTCGGCCTTCTTCTTCTTACGAGCGTTGGCGTTCTTTCGCTCAACGTGGCGCTTCTGGTCACGATTCTCGTTGTCATCGGGGACATCTTCATCAAGGTACTCGAAGCTGCGCCACGAGTCAAAGTTGTACCAGAAGTTGTAAAAGTCTTCAACATGCTCCTTGGTAGATTCGGCGTTGCCAAACGTAGGTACGGGGTGAGTCTTGGAGAATCGGCCCTCAGACTTGAAGACCTTGCTCCAGAGCTTGTAGAAATCACCCTTTTGGAGCTGCTTCTTGGTTGGTGGTTCAACATCGGCTTCCTCGTCAACAGAGTCATACTGGCGGCGCTTGACGGGGTCAAGGAGAACCTCTGTGGCTTTTTGGATGCACTTGAAGAATTGGTCGTCTTCAGTACGGCCCTGGGCGGCCTTCTTGTCGGGGTGGTGCTTCAGAACCTTCTTGCGGTGGGCCTTCTTGATCTGGTCCTCCGTAGCCTTCCAGCGGTACTTGGAGAGGCCCAAAATCTTGTAGTGATCCTGGGTCTGTTGGATCGACAGGTTAGCCTCGCAATTCGTACTTGACTTGGTCCATAGGGAATATCCATACCTTCCAGTCCTTGGCCTCACGCTGCAGCATCATGGGATCCTCAGCCTCGCTCTCATCGCTCTCATCCCCATCCTCGACCTTCTTGGCGCTCTCCTGAGCCTGGATGCGATCGTCTTCGGAGAAAGTGCGCTTGTGGCGAGCTCGGCGGGCGTGGGCCAGGAAATGAGGGCCAACAGGTTCAATGCTGCGCTGCACGGCGCCAGACAGTTGCCCAATGGCCTTGAAGTCCTTCTCAGCATTCCATCCTTCGGGAAGAATGGGTAGAGGCAGATCATTGACCTGCATAACGGTAGTCATTGTGATGCTGCACCTGGGTGGTTGGCAATGGATAAAAAGATAAAGGCCGAGGGCTCGCACTTTTTTTTTCTCTGGACCAGATTTGTCCACAGTTGTTGGTGGGGTCAGTCGCGCTCCAAATCTGCCGGGTGCTGTAAGCACCGGAAAACGGCCGAACCTGGCTCCGCTAGCCTCTACAGCTTATTGTTGCATCGCCTATTTGCCTGCATGTGCTTCGTCTTGGAAGAAGGCATTGCAAAGTTACATGATAGGGCGCCATACCTTCGCAACGTCGAACCATGGCTCTGGCGGCATACAGAAATTTGATGCGCGCAGCACGCATTGCTTTTCAAGGTATGCTAACTACATGTTCTATTTCCAATTCATGCTAACAGAGAGGCTTAAAGGCGACGCCCCAATCCTGGCTGCCGCTCAACAACAAATTCGCCACGAATTCCGACAAAAGTCCTCTCTCAACTCGTCCGATGCGTCTACTCAAGAGGCTATTCAGCATGCGCAAGAAGTGGCCAACTTTCTGAAGGCCAATGTGGTCCAGGGAAAGCGGATGGAGAGTGGGGAGAATATGTACCGTAGGTTGCGTAATATGTGAGGAGATCAAGAGAATCTGCATGAGCTGACCGCGTGCTTAGAGCTTCGAATCCATGAACACACCGAGAGAGGCGACAATGAAAGCGTAAAGACTGCAGGAAGCGGCGCAGTTGGTGGCGGGTGCTGCGGTGGCAACGGGAGATAAACATACGTGAAAGGAACAGAAGGAAACACTTGCATGTACAATAGTGTATATTTACTACCTGGTTACGACGGGACGCCTGTCATGATACCCTCCCATCCACAATGCATATAATTATGACAACCAGCCAATCTCAAGTATTTGATCCCTACGGCATCCCCTCTGTACTGCTCCAGATTGTCCAAATTCCAAACGCCAAACACCACATATGCTGGATTACTGTGCTGGAGCAACTTAGTCCCCAGAAAGACTTGCGTAGTTGGGGGTATCATCAGCACCCGGGGGAGCAGCGACAGAAGAACTGGGAGGAAGCAGTGCTTGGCTAGCCCCGTGGGAGCCGGCCTCGATACCGCCGCGATGTTGGGGCTTTCTGGGGATCCCAACCCGGGCGTCGCGGAGCATTTGTCCTCTCTCCTCCTTGTTCATTGTGCCGATTGCCTTTGGTTGACCCCATCGAACTCGCAATGGGCAACCTGCAATAACAGCCCGGCCCTGGCAAGCGGCGGCGGCCTTTTCGGCCGCTGCTCTAGTTTCGTAGTTGATAAAAGCGCAATGGGACATATGCGAGCATACCAAGCTCTTGATCTTTCCATGTACCTTGAAGTACTCTCGTAGCTTGAACTCGGGCAAGTCGTCCTCCACACCGGTAATAAATAGGGACATGATATTCGTATCATCGGGTGGAAGCCAGTCCTTCTCGCTTGGAGGTAGTTGCGCAGCGCTAGGGAACGCTTGTCGTCCTTTCCCGCCTCGTGGTCTGGCACCTGCCGCAGCTGCAGCCCTACTATCTCGAGTTCGGACAGGACCTGGCCCGCCTTGTCCAGCACCAGTAGCAACGCTGCCACCGGAACTGCTCCCTACAAGTTCTGATTCATCGACAGCTCGACCTTTTCTGAAATAGGGCTTGCTGTTCGCCAATCGACGAAGCAGCTCTCGTGCCTTTTCATCCGTTTTCTCGTACTCTTCAATACCTGCTTTGCCGTCTTCGATGAGCTTTTCATTGTTCTGGGCAAAGTATTCCCTGTTAATGTCGGATTGTGGACCGGGTGCAACCATTTTGAGCGCAGCATCTCGAACAGCGATGGGGAGGCCGAAGGAAAGATCGAGCATACAGCTCTGGCAGCAGTTCTTGAGTCGGGCGCAAGTCAGGCAGATGTTGGTCTTTTTTCGTCGGTTTTGAGCTCGGTCGGCCCCGTTCCAACTGAATACAGTAAACGGTCTTGTGCACTGTAACCGATTAGTATGACGGCTGTCGCAATAAGAGCATGTGGGGGTGTTTGATACGTACCAATTTGCATTCAGCACCATAGTCTTCCTTCAGCATCTTGACATAGGGATTTTCAGGTAAGCAGTTTTCGCACACCGAGGGGAAGTCTGTGCTCTCCCATCCTGATCTATTCAGGTCCTGCTTGATTTGGGGCGGCATGGTGATGTAATATCTTAAGGGGCACCAGATGATGCGCAAGGCAGACTTGACGGTGACAAGCTCTGCATTTAAGATCAGAAATCTACCTGTTGATCTGCTACCCGCCACTCAAACCGCGACAGCCAAATTCCTGCTGACCTAACGCTGTGGCGTAATTATCTTATCGATTCGAGGATTTTATCTGACTAAGCAAAATGCTCTGTGGCTTCGCGACTCAGCCACTACTGTGGAGTCGCCACGGAGTACTACTCCTCCGCACTCCCTGAAACGGTTCGCTTTCGTATTCGTAATTATTAGTCGAGACCGCCTTCTGTTTCTGGCAGAAAATGGCCAATGAAAGCAAGCGCCAGATCCCCGGTGCAGAATCGATTCCAGGCGAATGCGCAGCGGACCAAGATGGTCCAATGAGGGCGCCCCATTTAATCCAATCTTGCCAGGGGCCGCCAAAGGGGCGGCAGAAAGGGCAGGGAAAA